TCTCTCATAAAAAAATTTAGGGACATTTTTTTTAACTCTTTTTTATATTAAACTAGCAATACATGGCATGTGATACACAAGAAACATACACTTAGACACATGTAATACAAAAAAAATATTCTTGTGATATATATACAACACAATATGATGCTCTTGCAAATCTAATATAAGTTTCTAAAAATTTTGGTAGAACCTACAATTGTAGTAATTGATTGTGGCCTATTGTCACTATCATGTGTAAGGACCTTTAAACCTTCTATATAGGGATGGATCTAGAACAAACTTCATGGGGGGCCAAAATGCAACACTACATTATAGGGGGCCAAAATTAATTTTAACATTTTTAATAAATAAAAAACATGTAATATTAACAATTTTTTTTTAAAACTTGTGGTTGCTTGCCCCCTTGTGAATCTGTCTCTGCTTCCATGCTTCTTACTCTTGAAAGAGTAACATATAACTGACCATGTGTAAATATAGGTTTTGGCAAGTATAACCCAGTATGATGTAATGACTGGCCTTAACTTTTATCGATAGTCATTGCAAATGAAAGAGTAATACGAAACTGACATCTCTGTATGCGAAATGGCCATCTATTCTTTAAAGAGATTCATATCCATATGATGTATTAGTACTTTTTGATTTGGTTGTGACCCATTCAATGTTATCGCTTTAATAATTGTCTTTTCAGTTTTAGTAACATGTAATCTAGTTCCATTGCATAACGCAATAACTTGATCAATGTTTCTCAACAACATGATGGGGACCCCTACCTTCAACATAAGATTGTGAGGGGGTAATCAGAACTATTAATTGTGTTCAAAAAATTATTTGTGTATGAATCCTTAAAATAATCAGCATCTTGTATTGATTTGCAAATTGAGTTGCTCTTTAAATAATAAATTGCCTCACTTGGTAGTAAGCAGCACATGAAATTATTAACTTTGTTCACATTCTCAATTGTTAGTGCCAAAATTGCTCTATCATTGAAATATGTGTTACTTGTCAATTTATTCAAAAGATCTAGATTAGTAGATGATACAATCGCAATCAAGGGATTAACATAATCATTTATTAGTAACTTAGAAGAGATTTCAATTTTTGATATACCATCATGTAGGATACCAAGCTTCTTGTCATCAACGTCTAATAGCTAATTTGAAAACCTTTCAATTTGATCAAAATCAACAGTTGACAAAGGTGATGCTAATCACATATTTTTAGTAGTAAGGGGAAATATCTTCCAATGATCCCAGAGATAAGATGAATTGATGCATGTATTCACAATAGTTGTTCGAGTTCCTTTTGGAATCAAAAGGAGAATTCAGTGGAAATTACCACCCACAAAACACATTTTCCTCTAAAAGGCATATCTCTTTGCATAACATCCCTAAGTGTATGATCAAATGCTTTAATGCAATACTGCTATACCACAGGAGCTTTATCCTACATGATAAGCTTTACGATATGGATGAATTGTGCTAAATGGGAATTTTTCTTGATAGAACAAATAAAGTCCTCAGTTATTTGTATTAGTATAGCAAACCTTAAATACACTGTCTTCCCTGAAGGCAATAATGTGCTATGCCATTGGATGCAACTGTAAGCATAATGTCCCATTTTGCACGAAAGTTGATGTTAATGCACTCCATAGAAAGGTTTTACCAATACCCTATACCCATAAAACAAAATAAAAGCCTCTATGGGATGAGGACAATGATTCCAAGATAGTGTCAAAAATGCACATATGCTTAGAAGTTAACTGTCGTAATAACTTATCAACCTGACATTGTGATGCATGACGATCATAACACAACTCTTGTAACATTAAATGGTTCATCACATCAACAACTATAGTTCTAAAAGGAAATGAAGGAGAAGGGAAGTCGTGCAAACTCTTCCCTTTTTGTTGAAGCAACTATTTAATATCTTGAAAAGATGCTTCCTCTTTGACATGTTAGGGAATATTAATAGCTAATAAAATGCAAAGTTAGCAAGAATGAGCACAAGAAAGTAGAAATGTAACTGCAACATAATAAACCAAAATGAAGATATCCAATAATTTAAATACTCACATGATGATAAGAGATCAGTACAAGGTATATAAAGTAAATCTTCAGAAAGTATTCTAGATGTCTCCCTCTAAACATTCTTAGGACAATTAAGACAACAACTAAGAAGCATACTAATAAATGTCCTATGCAATAAAGGTCTATATGACCAAACTGATGCCTCCTTGATGGCATAAATAAACTATCTATCATCTTTAAGGAGACCTACAGCAAAACATGCAGCTGCAACAGCACTCTATCACATCATCACCAACCCTTTAGGAACAAACAGTCAACCTACACCAATACCCTCTGGCCTTACCTCACCGGAGGAAGCTCATCTAGTATAACATGGTCTACCATAATTAGTAAGCAAGCAAGCTATAAAGCACAAAAAATGCAAGAAGTTAAAGAGACATACAAACAACTCAAAGAAGCTAAGACATGTAAATAGTGACTCACCACAACTACCCACTACCAAGCCATGAATGACCCAAACCCAATTCAAAATAAAAAAACATTTCATTAATCATTGTGAGAAAATAACTTATAAAAACAACCCTCTCTCAAAAGCACTAAAAATTTAATGCTAAATGTAAATAGCACTAGTATACCTACAAATCAAATCAGACGACCCCCATTAAAGGAGAGCAAAAGTGTGGGTAGTACTTACCACAATGAAAACTATTCAACCACAAAATCTAGCACTCAACCAAATTTAGAATGCCCTTTAATTTTACAAGAACGATCACCACCTTAGCTCCACAAGGATGAACACTTAGATGTTTTGAATGCGATCCTCTCCTCAACTCGAACCCCTAAATGAATAGACTATAAGGAAAGAGAATTGAACACAAAAGAAAAACTAAGGAGAGAAAAGAAAAGGCATGTCATGTGTTTTCCCACCCTACATGCTAGTTCATAACTCCAGACTAGTAATCACACGAAGCTTAATACACAAGCCATTAAAAACACCTAAGCTAGCATTATTCATAGCAACAGTGAAATACGTCTTAGGCCACCATGAACAATTGAAACTGAGGCTGGCTTGGCCGAATTGATTTAATAGATATATTGATACAATTTGAAAATAAGCTAGGTATTGATAGAGCCAAACCTAGTTTCTCTAAATTTAACTATTTTGTAAAGAGAAAATATAATAATTGGTCCTCATAGTTTTGTCAGATTTTGTTTTCAATCCTTATAATTTTTATCTAGTATTTTGAATGCTTATAGAGGCTAAAAATATTAAAAATACTGAAATTATAAGGACCAGAATAACAAACATTACTCATTATTGTTGAAATTATAGGAATCGAAAATACTGAAAAAACTACAATGACTACAAGCAAAACTTGATAAAATTATGGGAACCAAAGATTATCCTTTAACCCTTTTTTTATACTAAATAAAATTAGAAAATAAGCCAGGTATTGATAGAGCTAAACCTAGTTTATCTAAATTTAACTATTTTGTAAAGGAAAATATTATAATTGGTTCTCATAGTTTTATTGAGTTTTGCTTTTAGTCCCTATAGTTTTTATCCAATATTTTCAATGTTTATAGGGATTGAAAACACTAAAAATATTAAAATTATAGGGATTAAAATAACAAATGTCACTCAGTATTGTTGAAACTATAGGGACTGAAAACACTTAAGAAAACTATAAGGACTAAAAAGAAAACCTGATAAAACTATAGGAATCAAATATTATATTTTTCTTTTTTTGTAAAACATAATTTTTATTTGAAGGGTTTAGGCTAGGTTCAAACCTTTTTTTTAAAAAAATTATTTTTTTAAATAATAAAATTTAACATTATAAATTAATTAAAATATTTTAAAAATTAAAATAAATAAACAAATCTAGATTTTCAATTATATCACAGTCATGAGTCAAGCTTTTATATGATTATCATTTACAATATAGAAGTATAAATTGTACATTGTTAGGAGAAGAAAAGAGAACCAATTCCCAATCATTAAGATGATCCTATATATGAAAACATAATAGTCTTTTATTACATGACCACGGGTACAACCAATATACCCATGATAATTTAAATTCAGATTGGAAGTTAAAGAAATCAAATACTTTACATATAAACTTAACAAATCAAATGATTAAACCAATAATTATTTTATGGTATCATGCCATTACAAAAACATTTTAATTAAATAACAAATTAAAAGAGAGATGGGACTTATGGTCACAAATTTTATTTTAATTTATAAACTAATCTAAAAAATGAACTATAAAACATTCATATTTTCTCATTCTTTAAAAAAATTAATAAAGGCCTGAAAGGCTGCCAAGCCTGAGCCCTTTTGTTGATAAAAATTCAAGCTCATTTAAACAGGTTTAGAAGCATTGTTACATTGAAAATCTCCACCTTTTCAATTCTAAATTCTCATAAAAATAGATTTAAGGCTCTAGGCATAAATTGTAAACTCACTTTTAATTTATTTAGAAGTAAATTAAAATCATTTTGTATTTTTATTTAAAATTAATTAGTATGAAATAGATATTTAATTATTACCTGTTAAATCATAATGTGAAACTATGATATTTTTTTCCCGTGAAACTGTGAAATTGAACTATTTAAGTTCTTTTTAGTTTTTACAGATTATTCAACAATTTGATTTTTCATTCTTACACATATATTAATTTAATTATTTAATTATGATCTAACAACCATGAAAATCATAACTTGTAATTTTCCAGTTTGACGCGGGTCTAGTTTTGAATATATTGGTTGGGGCGGGGAGTATGTCGGGTCGCGCGTGCAATCCTCTCTCAATTTTCTGCAGTAGTTAAGCAGTAATGCAATTACAAATTTACAATTTACAACTTCTAAGAAAAAAGTCCCGCCAAGGTAGGGCCCAACATTTGGCCAAAAACCACAAAAGGATGGGGCACGGCACAACACCACCAATGCTGAACGAAGAAGTCAGTCTCAAAGCGACCAAAAGGTGCCTCCACCACCATCACCACTACCAACTCGCTCTCTAAATCTCAACTAATCCCACTCATTCACTCCTCTCTCTCTCTCTCTCTCTCTCTCTCTCTGATCCACGCAACTGGGGAATCTCGGCTCAACCTGTTCCCGCGCCCACAAGAGATCGGCCATGGCTGCTTCTTCATCGGGAAATTCCATTTCAACTTCTTCCTCTGCTTTCTCTCACAGACCATTGGAATTCTCCCCCGATTCCCCCCAGAGACCCTCGCTCACCCCCGATCAGGTCAAGTACTGCACCCAAGCGTTGGCCATCCTCAGGGAGAAGCTTCAGACGCCGCACATGATCGCTCAAGAGTTCGCTCAGTTGCAGGTAGTCTGGCAGTTCTTACCCTGTATCTGGTGTTTTTTGGGAAGTTGGTGCCAGGTTAAGAATTACTGGAATGCGTTGTGATGTCTGGCATTTTTCATATCTCTTAATGGCGAAAGGCCCATGGGAGTAATTGGTAGGACTTAAATATTTGTTTCTTCTTTCTTACGATCAAGCATATTCCGTGTTCATACCTAAAAGGAAATAAATGAAATGAAACGACTCATCTTAAAAGCTTGCAACATTTGCTCGCTTCGTCTCTCGCACTCGCAGTTTTATATTGGGTTCTGGTAGTTTGTCAATCCCTACAGCGTTAATTTGGATGTTTGCCGTTGTCATGTCTTCTTATAGAAAAAGTAAAAGAAATTATTCATCTTGAAAGGCCGTGACTTTCGCTTTGAAGTCCTGCATGTTGAAACAACTCTAGTTGATTATGGCTATCCTCATGTTGTCCGATGATATGAAGGGAATGGGAGGATGGACAAAACGAAATTCTCATTGAAACTTTTGGAAAGTTTTACAATTCACTTCCATTATTTGTTTTTAACTCTAAGCTTGCCTCCCTTACTTTGTTTTGGTTTCATTTTCTGAATGTTTGATTTCAGGCCAATAGGATAACGCCGAGTGAGATGAGGAGAAGATGCATTGTAGCTCTAAATGACGTAAATGCGAGCAAAAATCGGTATAGAGATGTCCTACCATGTAAATATGACTTTCTTATTTCTCCCTACGGAGGGTTATCCATGTAATGTCTTTGAGAGTAAATACACTGCAGCTGATGTTTCTGCGGAACGAGAGCATTTTTTTGAAGAGTTTATTTATTGACTAGTTGTTTACTTTTTCCTTATTTCAGTTGACAAGAACAGAATTGTTCTTGAATCTAGTGCAGATTATAGACCTGCAGCCGAGGGATATATCAATGCAAGCTTTGTCTCGGTATAAATATTATTATGAGTATTTGATATTTTTTGTAAATGTCATCACAAGGAGATCTCAGTATATTCATAGTTTGAAAACTTGTGTTCCTTGTGTGCAGACCTCTTCCTCCGGAAGTATTTCTCAGTTTATAGCTACACAAGGTCCACTACCACATACTTATGAGGATTTCTGGGAAATGGTGATCCAACACCGTTGCCCTGCTGTTGTGATGCTCACTAGGCTTGTTGACCATTATAAGGTACTTGACTGTGCAGGCTTCTCGGTAATTTTTGTTGTTTATTACCGTGAGGGGATCACTTTTATTGCAGGTTTCTCTGTCCATTTTTCAACAAATCTGCAAGCATAAAATGTTATTTATGATATTAGAAACAGTGAAGTTTATGTCCAAATTAAGTTTCTTGTTTGATGTTTGATTCCATAACCAAAAGCAGAATGATAGCTCCTTCTCGTTCTCTCTCTCGGTCTCTCTGGTTGGAAGCTGTAATGATGTATTATCAAACACATCCTCTGTGCAGAGATTATACTCTTTTTTTACTGAACTGTTGCATCTATTTTTCATTCTTAACCGTAGTTATGGTGCAATTGGTGGAGAAGTCCGATTGTTGTATAGTTACATTTCAGTAGCAAATTATGTTTGAAAATCTTCAGATTATATGGCTGCTGCTTTTTTCCTTTCTTTTTATTTCTTCTTCCTCAAGCTTGAAGGTATTATGGCCAAAGCAATCCATGTCTTTGATGGTTGATTTGTTTTTATATCATGGTCTTGTAGTTTTACTAACAAATTAGACTTGCTTTTCATAAGCTATTTTCTTCTCTCATTTTGGGCTTTAAATTGCAGATGGTAAAATGTGGAGATTATTTTCAAGCTGAAGATGGACCTAGAGAGTTAGGCAATATCTCTATTATTAGTAAATGGATGAAAACTACTGAAACATCACTGGTACTGCGCCATTTGGAGGTGAAGCATAGAGAGGTGAGATGTATTGGAATGTAAAGATTGTGAGTTTGTGTTAGCATGTTCAGTATGCCTCTTGTTCCATATTTTGTTGGTTGTGATTTTGTTGTTAATAGGATATTATTTTTTAACTTTCTCACATAAAAAAATGTCTCATGTAGGTCAGAATTCACTTATTATGTTGCATTCAAGGGTTTCTTTTCTTATTCCTCTATAGTCTAAGATGGTTTTTCTAATTTTCTTACTTTGTTGACTGGATTGATTGAATTTGTTTTTTGAGTAGTGGGTGGAACGGGTTGTTAGTGGAAGAGATCTAATTCCACCTGAAAGTTGAATGTTATGATTTTTTGTGAGATCTTTACTGTAGCATCCTCTTGGAAATTTAAACAAATCTTTTGGTCCTCTGTTTTTAGAATAATGTCTTGTCCCAGTATCTCAGAGGTTTTACTTATATTACCATCCCAATTTACGGTGCCCTTGATTTCTTTTCTACAATTTTCACTTCCCCTTTCAAGATTAAGTTGATTGGGTAATTGATTTTTCAATGTAGCAAGATGAATTATTTTTTCCCTAATGGTTTGTTTAAGTTTGATTTGGTTCATCAAATCCTCTGTTTTTTGTCTGTTTTACTGTTAGACATATATGATTTGCTCAAATAATAAAATAAATGAAAACGTATTATTTATTTTTAATGTATGAGCTAATTTATTGGTTTAGTCCCATGTTCTTGGTCTTAATTTTATAAACGTTTTTTTATAAATGCTACCAAATGCTGCATATTACTGAGATATGCACTTCTATGAACTTAAGTAGCAGCGTTGACAACCCACCCATCCCTGGTGTATGTTATACTTCTAATAGCTTTCTTCCCGCAGGTATATGGCTCGGGAAAATTTCCCATAAGACTTACCTGCTATAACCTATCGAATTGATGTTTTTGGATATGGAGTCACTAAGACCTAGTCCCTCTTTGATCCTTAACCTTCAACGTCTGTACTTGGTGGTGCATTTAATCACTGTCCTTGTGGTTCATGCCTTTCTTATTCACTTGAGTTTATCTTTTGAAACAAAATTATTGCATTATGAGCAACTTTTTTCATTAATTGTTCTTTTTGCAGGAAGAAGAGCTGCCCTTATCTGTTTTGCATATTCAGTATCCTGAATGGCCTGATCATGGAGTTCCTAAAGACACATATGCTGTGCGTGAAATTATGAAAAGATTGTACCATGTACCACCAAACCTTGGCCCAATAGTGGTGCACTGCAGGTTAGCTTGTCACTTATATTTATTGCAATAATGATAATAAGTCATGTGCTTATTTGTCTGAGAAATCTCTGATTTCAGTGCAGGTATTGGCAGAACTGGAACATACTGTGCAATTCACAACACAGTTCAGAGAATCCTTGCTGGTGATATGTCTGCCTTGGATCTTGGTAATACCATAGCTGTCTTCAGGTCGCAGCGTATTGGAATGGTTCAGACACAGGTAGTTGGCATTGCTACTTTAAATGCGTCAATTATGAACATTTTGATTTTGAATGGAAAGGCATTAGTTTAGTTGGATCACAGAGTTCCCTTCCCGAACTCAATAAATGGCCAAGCAATTTTAAAATCCAACAACAAACTTTATGTCCGATTAGATGGTTTGATAATAATGAAGATGGTTTGATAATAATGAAGCCAATTTTTGTCAAACTATTAGGATAGACTGTTCGTACCAGATTATACCTTTCAAAATATACTATAAAATAGAGTCTATTTAATGATGAAATGAGAAGATTCTCAAAGTTTTGTATTTGATTACATCTATTGGACCAGTTCTCGTGGTCTATTCATACAACAAAATGGATTAATATAGCCTTCAATACCATTTCTCGTGCTAATATATGCAATATTTATCCTCTGTTTTATCATTGCAACCTAAGCAAGAAGCTCGAATACTCCTGGAATCTTTTTACTAATTCTAGTACTTCAGATTGGACCTGTTTGGTCATTTGGATTCTACCTGTTTGGCCTCTTGGATTATGTGACTTGAGTTGATTCTCCTTTCTATCCCTGGATTCAAACTGTCAAAAAAAAACAAAAAGAAAAAGAAAAGAAACTCTTGGTCCCGGTTGGTTATTAGAAAGAAATGGAATGGAGTAGATTGAAAAAATAAAAGTAAAAATGAGACAATTAAAAGGAATAGTGAACTACATTTGTAAAAGAGAAGGTAATTTAGTTCATAGGGTTAGGAATCATGATTCATAAAATTTTTAAAGGGTGTGATGATTCTCATGTTTGTAATTTATATTAATGAGTTTTATCATGCTTATCATGAGGAAGAAAGGTGATCTAGTTAATTTTTGTGTCAATTTTTTTAGTCCATTCCTTTCTAGTAACCAAACGGGACTTTAGGCTTTTATTTTTGGAGTGTGTCGAGCATGGAAAACGAAAGAGATTGGTAAGAGTGAATGGAATGAATTGGAAAATAAACCCTCATAGCAATACTTTATAAAAAATAATGAGGTAGGTATTGTTGAGTAATGATAACAACGGAAAAATAATTTTTAAATTGGACCTGTGCATTTCATTTTTCTTCCATGCCTCAGTTCTATCGTTCAAAATTGGCCTCTGCGGAATATGGACAACAAAATTTCTCATCTAATCTATGTGTCTCTAGAACCTAAGGCGCATACAAACCAGTTTAAGCAACACTTTAGGTTTCATTTTTTGGTTCCAGAATTGAGGTCTCGTACTTGCCAGATCATGTTATATAATGATCTAAATGGATATTCTAACTTTTAAATATGTAAGTTAGCTTTCCATAATAATTTCTACTATTTTATTTATTCCGTTGATATATGTTTACCTAATAAAATCCATCTCCATCTCATAAATTAGCCAGTTTGATTGGCATGGAGATACAAAATGAAAACTTTTTGGGGAAATATTATGTATACAATCATTTGGGACATTCTGATTATTGTTTCACCTTGGAATAGTAAACATTTCGTAAGGTAGTTGGGCTGTTATGCTGTTTATCTAAATGTTTATTATTGAGAGGGACGTGTTTTTTTCCCCCTCATTTTATTGTAGACAAACAGTTTATGACTGAATTAGTGAGTGAATTCAGTGAATGATGTAATTGACCTAATGAAATACCATGATGAACCCAATAGTCAAATTCAAACGCAAACATGTTTGTATACAAAAGCTATGATGTTAATTTTATTTGTGGATTATTTTCACATTCCTATATATGTTCCAATTTCCAATGCCATGTCGTTGACTTTCCATATACTTTGTTTTCCCCTACATTTTTATCAGGATCAGTACTTTTTCTGCTACAAAGCTATTGCAGAGGAACTGGAAGACCTTGTTTCTCATGATCAATGAGGTGGGTGTGGTGGTTACTTCTGTTAACTTCTGTTTTGGCAAAGATTCTTTATCTGGTCCATTAGATGTGAGACTGCTTCCTTCATTTTGAAATACTGCTTACCTTAACATTTCTGTTTTGGTCTGGCAATACTATTGCACTACCTACAGCTGATTTGAATTGAGAGAGCCTTTGAATTTAACTAAACTCCATATCGTTCTCAAAACTGTCAGGTGCATTTGCAGGCATGGAAAACTCACATGGGGGCATCCTTTTTATTATAGCACTTAACTAAAACCTATTTGGGAAAAAATTGGCTCTAGGAATAACATAATTTGAACTATTATTTCTGCCCCCTCCCCTTTGTCCTCTTTCTCTTCTTTCCCCATCTTTTGGATGGTGAACTTTCTAGGCCTTTCGGTGCAAGAAGCTTTTGTTGAAGCTAATAAAAGCTTCTTGCCTTATTCAAGTACCCTAGAGTTCCGGATGTAGAATAACTGATGCTGATGAGATGATCATTTATAGATAATAGACATCTCCCTCCATTTTTTTTTTTAAATTGTGCACAAGTATCTTTCCATTAGATAGAATCATATTTGAGGCACGGTTTAATGTAATGTTTTGTGGGTAAAAAATTGTTCTCTAGAAGGGAAATGAAAAATGTACCTATCCTATTGTCTTGTTAGGTGCATTTCCCATTTTCATTTTGGAAAACAGTTGTGTACTAAACATGCAATAAATGTAGATATCTCTTTCAACGGGATTCGATTAATAGACATCTCCCTTTTATTAATTACATTTTCACTTGCTATTCTTGTAGGGAATGTTTGGTTGTTTTAGAGGATGAGAATGCAAGGAATTCAAACAAAATGGGAGGGAGAGACTTTCTCCTCCTCTAATTATGTTGCTTTTGGTCTAAACTTTATAAAGTTGAGTCAAAGAATGCTGCTGAAACTAGTAAGAACCAAGGTTTAAAAAAACAGGATAGGATTAGCCAGTCCAATTGGGAATTGGCCCCTGGTTCGGTTTGAATGAAGCCATAAAACTAGTGCTATAGTAAACCGGTCAAAAACTGGCCAACCGATCAAAAACCTGTGGGAATTGTAAAGAGTAAACGGTTTGCCAGGAGGCCGGTTCAAGTGATTAGGTTTTCAAAATAAAAAATAAATAAATAAAAGATGTGCAGATGGAGAAAGAATATGAAATGCAGGGAAATGAATGATTAAAAAAGAGTTATCTTACTACAAACCTCTACTATAAACGCATAACTTTGGTCTTAAACATATCAAATTTGCACTGAAACTATTATATTTACGAAAATCTCATACATGAAGAGTAGGAGATGAAGAAGAAGAAAGACGATGAGTGTTAGAAGACAAGAGAGGACGAGTGAAACTTATTTGAAAATGAAATCAGTTCCTCAAAACATATGCCATTTACTAAACCAAGTACAGCACAAGAAAAAATGTTTAAAAAATAATTAACTTTTTATAAATTATTCAGCTAATTTTTTCATATAAATTCTTCTAAATTATATTTTTTTTGGATGAAAACTGAATTCATTCATAATCAGAAGAAACCAGAACAAGTCAACAAAATACAAGGAGAGCCAAATCAATCATCATCAACCCTCTTTTGGTAACCAAGGTGGTGGATGATCAAAGATACAAAAAAAGCCTTCAATAAAATGAGCTTTTCTAGCCAGGTGGTGAGCGGTGTTAACCACATTTTTATGAATAAAGCTAATTGTAACAATCCAGTTCCTATGAATTAAGCTAAAAGCATGAGAAATGAAATTTTGAAAAAGGATGATCAGCATTCACGCCTCTATTCAGGAGATTTATAACTTCCAAATAGTTTGAATAAACTTTTATCTTTTTGAACCCATGATCCCAGCAGAATTCGAGTCCCATAATTATTCCCCTTATTTCAGCTATTGTTAAAGGTGGATTTCCAAGCTTAACAAAAACCCTTTATCCAATTGCCATCCTCATCAGTCATATGTACCCTACAAGTAAGTAATCCAGTTTCATGAAGAGATCCATCCACAACAAACAAGCCTATATTTCTTTTTTGGTGAATTTAGAAAAATGGCCAATCAGCTCCATCAACAGTAGGACCTCCCAACCCATCAATTGCCACGCCCAAAAAAGTAAGCCCAAACGATTTATATCCTTCATACAAATTGTGAACTATTTTGTCAATCCTTCATTTCCATTACTGCATAATGTAACATAATTTAGCTATTATTATCCAAAAACTAGTAAAATGAAAATAGGAGAAATGCTGCTTCACACCACCTTAAGAAAAAGTTTATAATAAAAATTTAATGATATTTGTTCTTTGGTTTTATAAATAGGACTCCAATACAATTCGCTGAAAACATTATTACTGCATTGATTAATTATTACTTCCTTTATTCATTATTATATGTTACTTCCAATCAAATTACATCTCCAACGAGTATATTAATTGTCTTTAAAATTACACTTTCTTTACGTATGTCCTCTTATTTAATATAGTATCTTATTTAAAAAATCTTGTTAATTATATCCTTGTTTAAGGAACTAGCGTTTACTTCCCCATATGTTACACGGGAAGCAAAAAAGAAAAAAAAAATCATCCAATTCAATGAAAATTATGTTCAAATGGCTAATTCTACGGTAATTAAAATTTCATGCTTTAAAATGATGCAATAATTCAGAAGGATGTTGTTAAATAAACCAAAATGACAAACCATTCGAATAACAAGGTAACAACTACTAAACGGTACATACTAAGAATCATCAAGCAACGCACCTTCTTCATTTCAAATTATGAAATACCTCAGCATATGCTATATTTGTAATTGTATTTCCTTTACTATAATTATCAACATTTACTAGTATTCTTAATTCGTTGACTCCTTTTACTTTGGAAAGAGCAATATAAAATTAACTATGTGTGAAAACTTACTTTATCAAATACAAGCCCACAAAATTTAATAATTGGCCTTGGTTCTTGTTTGTCATCATGTCAAAAGACAAAGTAATAGGATATTGCCTTCTTTTCATTTGAAATGGTAACTTACTTCCTAAAAAATTCATGTTCATTTTATGTATTAGGATCTTTTACTTAAATCTTAAACTGCTTAATGTTATTGCTTCAATAATTGACTTACCAAGTTTTGTGATCATAAGTCTAGTTCAATTGCATAGACCTACTGCTTTGTTAATATTTCTTAGAAGCATCATTGGTCCATCAACCTTCAAGACAAGTTTATGTAAAGGTAAACTAGAGTTGTTGATTGTATTCAAAAATTAAATTGTGTACAAATTTTCAAATTAATGAAAATTTTCACAAAATTTATATACAAAGTCACAAATGTAGTATTCAATTGAATTCCCCGATAGTATTTAGTTGTAGTATCTATGGTTGGTACTAGTATAATTCTATCATTGAAATAGGCATTGTTCATAATTGGATAACAAATCTAGGTATATTTAATTAACTATTGCATGCAATGAATCCATGTAGCCTATGTTAATCAATAAATTTGAAGGAATTTCAATTTCAGCATTGCCATCATGTGATTCAGTATTCACCTAATTTCCTATCAATTTTCAAGAGCCATTGTGAGAATTCCATTAAACATTGATATGTAGCACCATTTGTTAATTATAAACATAATTTTTTTATCAAATGAAGAATTTTACAATAATCTTATAAATGTGAAGAGCTAACGCTCTTGCATCCTTTGATATCACTGGCAAGATTGTCTAAAATTACCTCCAAAAGAATGCGTTTATCATCAAAAGGCTTATCACAACGTATTATATCCTTCATTGTTCTGTCAAAAGTTTCAATGCAATATCCCTAAACCTCATTCCATATGATTAGTTTTGTACAATGCAAAAAGTTCTGCTAAATGACTATGTTGCTTTCAGTGATTTGAAATGAAAAGAAGAAACAACAGTTGCATGCGATGGATTCATTTTTTAACGTCATGCATTCAAAAAGCAGCCCCTGGGCGCGGGAAAGAAGACCCCAGGCGACCTTGCACGTGAGGAGTGCTGATTGGGCGATTGCTGAACGAAGAGGTTCCGCCGTACGGAGTGCCCCAATGCGTTGGCCGGATTTTTTCTTTTTTCTTTTTTTTTTTTTTTGATAAATAAGAGAAGGGACGACGGGAAGCGACCATCCAAAAGGTGGATCCACCACCAACTTTATCTCTCGACCACAACTAACCCCATCCACTCCCCTCTCTTCCGTTCTCGCTTTGGTTTTGGTCCTGCTAGACGCAAAGTCTGATCCGCCATGACTGCTTCTTTACCCGCCAATTTCTCTCACAAACCCTGGGATCCTTCCCCCGATTCCCCTCCGATAATTTCTCTCACGCCTGATCAGCTCAATCACTGTGCTGAAGCGCTGGCCAGCTTTAGGCAGAGAACGCCGGAGATGATCGATCAAGAGTTCGATCAATTGGAGGTAGTTTGGTAGTTCTTACAGTGTGTCTGTTTGATTGCTTGATTTCACATCGGACTAAAACCTTGCTCTTGGTTACGTGCTTCTAGTTGAAACCAAATACTCTTAGGAAGTGTGGGAAAATTGCGGACGGGAAATGACTGCCTCTTCAAATTTCATTCCTTAAGTTATGATTTATTGTTGCTGCAATGATTTGTTCTTTTGTTATTTCAGAAATTTGTGCGAGTTTAAGAATTAATGGAATGCTCTGTGATGTTTCATTTTCATATCTTTTTGGAATCAAAATTTTGTTTCTCTTGATTTTGTAATCCTTCAAGCCTCAGGCTTGCCTTCCTTATTTAAAAAAAAAAAATTGTTTCTCTTCTCTTACAACGAAGTCTATGCTGTGTTCATGCTAAATAAATCAAAGAAATTATTCATCTTAAAAGCTTCGAACAAGAGTTTACTCGCTCCGTCTCTCGCAGTTTTGTTTTGGGCTTTTGGAAGTTGTCAATCCCTATAATGTTTGTTTGGTGTTTTCCATCGTCATATCTTACATGAGCAATTGGATAAGTTATACACTTAATTCACTTCCATAATCTGTTTCCAACTCTAAGCTTGACTCCGTTATTATTATTATTATTTTTTTTTGGCCCCTTTCCCCTATGTTTGATTTCAGGCCAATGTGATAACAATAAGTGAGCTGAGGAGAAGATGCACTGTTGCTCTGAATGAAGCAAATCTGGACAAAAATCGGTATCCGGAAAATGTCCTGCCATGTAAATACGACATTCTTAATTATTTCTCCCCACTGAATGTTATCCGGAAAATGCAGTGCGTCTGATATTTCTGTGTTCAACGAGAACATCTATTCTTTATTAAGGGTTTTATTTCTTCATTTAGTTGTTAATTTGTTCCTTATTTCAGTTGATGAGAACAGGGTTGTTCTGGAATCAAGTACAGATCCTAGACCCACGGCCATGGGATATATCAATGCAAGCTTTCTCTCGGTATAAATATTAGAATGAGTATTTGATATTGTTTGGTAACAGTATATACAAGGAGATATTGGTATACTATTCTTGGTTTTAAGCCCTGTGAGTTCCTTTTGTGCAGCCCTCCTCCTCTGAAAGTGTTTCTCAGTTTATAGCTACACAAGGTCCACTGCCACATACTTGTGAGGATTTCTGGGAAATGGTAATCCAATACCGCTGCCCCGTCATTGTAAATCTCACTGCGCTTGTTGAACACAACAAGGTACTAGGCAAGTGCAAATTCAGCACTACTGTAATACTTTGATTATAAGACAAAGCTCCTTAATACAAGACGTCCTATAAAATTTAATGAAACATTCATGATACATTTTTTTATTTTGATAGCAAAATTGTCTCTTTTAGTCTTGGCCTTTCCATCCTCCCCATCTCTCCCCTCAACTAACCACATAAATCAAAGGTTGTTTCGGAAAGTAGTTGTTTATTTATTTATTTATTTTAACATTTGACAGTATTAACTAATTTTCTTAATCTCATTAAAGTTATAAATAAGATCTGATAAAAAGAAACGGAGGGAGGAATATAAATAGCAAATCAAGCGTCAATTATGCATGCTGACTCTCGAAAGTTATGAATGAATGATTATAAAACTTGAGCTATTGCATGAAAATAAATTTGTTTTCTTATTTTTTAATTTGGATATGATATTAACCAAGACGGTTAAAAATATATTATTCTTTAGATTTTTATATTATATATATTAATTTGCTTTTTGGAAAATTTGAAGATCTATCAAAATCCTTTATTCAAATTATCAATATGCAATTACATATAAATATAAATTGAAAATCTTAAATTTGGAAATTATTTTTTATGTTTAATACTTTGAAATTTTTATTTAATTGTATTAACGTATTAAATATAAAACTATTTCAGATTACTTATTTTAAATATTAAAAAATAAAATCTTGAACTATGTACATATTGCTTTGCCGAAATCCCCCTACCAAAAAAGTTAAAAAATAATAAAAGCAATAAAGGTAACTAAGTGCATTTTAGTTGTTGATGGACAACAATGACATCATTTAATTTATATAGTTGACTTAACCTAATAGTAGAAGGCTGGTTATTGTTGTTGTTATGTATTAAGTGCATCCTTTGCTAAGAGGTTGCAGCGACTATACTCATTTTGGCTTTCAAAATGTGCCGCTGCATCTATTCTCTGATTCTTAAGTATAGTTATGAAAGGATAGGGTAACTGGTTAAGTTGTCCAGTGGTTGTACTATTACATTTGACTTATTTGAGACGCAAACCATTCATGGAAACCTTCAGGGAGCTTATTTGTTTTGCACATACGTTTTGGATGCTGAAGTGGTTACCAAGTGAAAGTTTCTTTCACCAACAGTGTTGTCCCAAGTTCTTCATTATCTTTTGACCGTATATGTGATCATTAATGATTACCAGCTACGTAAGCAATTTGTTTAAAAGAGTGGTCCTGTACTATTGGTCTTTTATTTTTTCTTTTTTCTTTTTTCTTTTTGGCTTTTGATCAGCCATTACAATTCTAAATTTTGTACGTATAGTCTTTACCGAGAGACAAACATCCTGTCCTGCATTGCATGAAAATGCAATTGCGTGCTGTTTTGTTTATTCTTACTCAAGCTTAAAGCAAGTAATTCCATTCGTTCTTTAGTTATTTTTTTTTTTAATCATAGTATCGTTGTTTTACTTGTAAATTAGACTTGCTTTTCATAAGCTATTTTCCTTTCTCTTTATGATCTGCAGATTGTTAAATGTAGCGATTATTTTCAAGCCGAGGATGGACCTAGAAAGTTTGGTAATATCACTATTGTTTGTGAATGGATGAAAACTACTGAGAAATCATTGGTACTTCGCCATTTGAAGGTGCATAGAAAGGTGAGATGTGTTGGAATGTAAATATGATCGCTAGATTGAGACTGCCTATTAACTAGGCTCTTGTTCCTTATTCTGTTGGTCACAATTATGTAATTAATTTTGTATATTTTGCAACTGGGTATTCAATGGCCTGCATTGTAACTTTCCATTAGACTTGCCTGCAATAAATTGTCAAAGTCATGTTTTTGGACGCTGAGTTATTAAGATCCAGACAAATGTTTCAGACCCTCTTCTAGCCTTAAACTTTGTGCTCATCAGTATTATACTTCATTACTGTCCTTGTAGTTTATAACTTGCTTCTTCAGACAAGTTTTTGTTTCTATTTTGAAACAAAATTATTGCATTGTGGTTTACTTTTATTTTGTCATTCATCGTTCTTATTGCAGGAAGATCTGCCCTTATCTGTTTTGCACATTCATTATCTTGAGTGGCCTGACTATGGAGTTCCCAACGAAACACATGCTGTGCGTGCAATTTTTAAGAGATTGTACCGTTTACCACCGGAACTTGGCCCCATAGTGGTGCACTGCAGGTTAGCTCGCACTTGTTTCTGGTGGAAAGCTTATACTTGTTTATTTATTGCAATAATTATAATAAGTCATATGCATATTTGTTTGAGAATTCTCTGATTATCAGTGCAGGTATCGGCAGAACAGGAGCATACTGTGCAGTTCATAATACAATTCAGAGAATTCTTGCTGGAGATAAGTCTGCCTTGGATCTTCGTAATACCATATGTGTCTTCAGGTCACAGCGATATGGAATGGCTCAGAAACAGGTTGATGGCGTTGGACTTAGTATAACTGATACAATGGGAATTAGGAATAATAGGGGTAATTAGAGGAATTAGAAATAATATGGGTAGTTTGGGTATTTAAATATATTCTCTATGTTTTTAGGTTATAATGGGTTATTGTGAATGGAATTAATCTTTCTCGTCCTCTCTATTTCCCTTCAACCTCTTCCCTTTCTCCCTCTTTCTCTTCTACCTCTATCAAAAGTATTAGAGCCTCTTCTCTAGCCATGGCTCTATCGGAGAGCTGATCCAATGAACGCATTGGTACCCTTAAACATCGTTTGGAGATGCAGTCAACCTTGTTCCAATGCAACAAGCAGATTCAGGACTTCCTTGGGACTAAGCAAACCATATCTTAGCTTATGACTGAAATCTTGGCTAAGTCTATGCGTGTCAACCAGCGCCTGCAACCAACAATGACTACCTCTGCATCTACTACAACTGTGAACGAGTACTCACAGCAACGAGCATCTGACATGAAAGAGAAAGACACGGACGAGCTGGTTATCAAAGAGACTGGTGTGGATTCAACACTCACCGTTGTTGACGAGGAGATGACAGACGAACTGACCGAGACAGGGAATGTCAATGCCCTAAAATTGGACAATGTCATTGCAAGCATTACGAAAGACCAAAAAGAAGCAAGATAGTGAAGAGATGGAGACACCCAGAGCTGCAAATGCGTCAAATGGTTCTCTGACTTCAATTTTTGACCCTCCTCTTCCTATGTGTCTTCTTGGCCTTTCACCGCCGATGCATTTACCATCAATTCGAGTACCAAAATTCCAGTCACCATCATCACCTATGGTCCTGCATCTTTCATTTCCTCTCTATTTCCCTTCTACCTCTTCCCTCTCTCTCTTCTACCTCTATCAATAGTCAATTATGAATCACATTGATTATGAATGGAAAGGCGTTTATTTAGTTGGATCGCATATAAATTAAGTCCCTCTTCCCAAACTCAGTAAATGGCCTAGTAATTTTGAAATCTAGGAACAAACATGGATTTCGACTCTTCAGATGGTTTGACGGTAATGTGGCTAATTTCTGTTGAGGTATTAGGTTAGACTGCTATATGAAGATTCATAAGTCAGTACCAGATTAGAAGTTTAGAACTCTCAAAAAGATATAGTAAAATAGGATTCTTTCTGGCATTGAAATGAAAAGGTTCACAAAGTCTCTTTCCTATTCTAGAAGGAGACTGAATAATTGCTAATGTATGCAATTGCAATGTAACTAGAATTAGTAATTCGGGTGAGTCGGGTTTAAAATATCCAAATATATAAAAAGCCTACAATTAAGTTTGGTCTTAATACTTCAGGCTTTTAGGTTAGCCTGAATATTTGAATTATTAAATATTTTTTTAGTCAATTTCAATTTTTATTTTTTAAAAATTGAAAATTTTCAAGCAACAAAACAAATTTGCCTTTTTTTATATCCTTATTAAAGTGAGACTAAGCATAAAAGAGAAAATGAAAGCATACGAAGTAATCTTGTTTTTATTTTTCCTTAATATTTCCAGTAACATATTCTTTATTTTCCACTTAATTTCTTTTTCAACTTCTTGACATCTCGTCTTTTATTGTGTTTTTCTGCATTTTACCAGACCCAGTACAATTTCTGCTATGAAGCTATTGTAGAGGCACTGGACGAGCTTCTTTCTAATCATCAGCAGTAATGAGGGTATGCCACTTCTGTCCACTTTCTGTTCTTGCGAAGATTCTGCAGCCTGCACTGTTCTGGTTTTGAAATCCTTGTGTACAACGAATCTCTCTTGTCCACTTTCCTTCATCCATTAGTTGTGTAGCATCTTTGTTCATTCAAACGTCAAACCGTTCTGGTGGTAGCATGATAAATTGCAGTCACATTTAATGTGAACATCTCAACCATCATGCCGCTGATTTGAATTGGGAGAGCTTGTGAATTTAAACTAATGTTGCATTGGGATTAATAACGGTTTATTTTTAGATTTGGGCCACGTCCTCTATTTGGATGCATGAAAACATGTAGATTTGATTCAAATCTAAATTCATTTTTATTAGAATTCATTTATAATTTCAAATTCTTTTTATACTCCAGTTATTTGAAATTTCAGTTACTCCAACTCTTCTCTTCTCATTTTTTACTGTTATTGCCTCCATCACTTTCATCTCTTTTCAGATTTCTTGTTTGTCTCTTGCTGATTAAACAATAAAGGTAAATCCCATCAATACTTGTTTTAGTCACCAAAAAAAAAAAAAACTGTTATTATATTTATACTCTTTTCAAATGCTCTCTCTCTCTCTCTCTCTCTCTCTCTCTCTCTCTCTCTCTCTCTCTCTCTCTGTTCTAGTGGAAAAACATCAGTGACTTGTTTTACTCATCCAAAAAAAAAATGCGGGGTTTTGTAGAGTTTGAAATAAATAAAGCATACTTGCGAATAATGCAACTTCCTATAAAAAGTGTATGTATAAATTTGTCATACAGTCAAAATATGATTTTAGAAGAATTTATATAAAAAATTAATTGAATAATTTTATAAAAAAATGAAATATTTTTAAGGATAATTTTCTTTTAAAAAAAATTTGGGTGAAGCCAATCTAAGCACATTTTATTTATCCTTTTCTACTCCTTGGGTGCCCGGAGTTTGGTAAAAAAAATTTGTCACACAGTCAAAATATGATTTTAGAAGAATTTATATAAAAAATTAATTGAATAATTTTATAAAAAAATGAAATATTTTTAAGGATAATTTTCTTTTAAAAAAAATTTGGGTGAAGCCAATCTAAGCACATTTTATTTATCCTTCTCCTTGGGTGCCCGGAGTCTGGAGATTATCTTTCTTTTCTTTATAAATCAACCTTAATCACATGGCTAATGATTTACCAATTGAGTTTCATTATAAATTTAGGAGGCCCCATGGCCAATTCTGGAGGCATCACATGATGTTTCACTCGTTATTTTCCCTTGTTATTTATAGATCATCTTTCTCTTCTTTATTAATCAGTGCGTGTAGATTTTGTCGTAGCAAGTTTTTGCTAGGGAAGTAGGGTTGTTTTGGTTGTTGAAAAGAAATGGAATAGAATGTGTTGATAGAGAATAAAAAAAAAAAACTAAAATGAAGTTGTGAATTGATGGAGAGATGAGAATTATAAAAGAGTTGAGAGTCATAAAGTGATGGATAGGTAGAAATGGGGATTGATGACTTTATTCGTGCCAATCCCCGTTCTCACCCCTCATCATTTCAATAGCTTTCCTTTTTCTATTGTCCTCTTCTATCTATCAATCCACAGTCTTATTCTAGTTTATTTTATTCTATTAATTCATTCCATTCTTCTCTATCACCCAAATGAGACCAAGAGTAAAAATGGGATATAAATCACATAATTCTGACAAGGTTTAATTATCTATAATATGGAATTAGTGGGTCTTTGATTTTATATTTGAAATACTTGTTTTTCCCAATATCATGGTTTTGATAACTCCCAGGATAGTGAAACTTTTAGATGATTCACTATCACTTTATGAAGACACAGCAAGGGATCACCAAATATGACAAGAGAGAATTGAGTCCTAAATCTACCTTATTCGCAAGACTTGATTTACTAATTATAAATGTGGCAGCAATATTTACTTGGTAGATTATTCTCGAATTTGAATAGCAGAATTCAATTCGCCAATGGAATTTAGAGCAAGATAGTATAATACAAGGGTTTTCTATGAGTTGTTTCTCTTCACTCTTTGGGTGAGCTTTTTATCTCCAGTGAGAGGGTTTCTACTTTCCACCATTATTTTGGGTGGTTTCTTCGTTTTCGTCTAGGGATCGTTGAGGGTGGCAAAGGGCAAGGAATGGATTAAAAAATCAAGATAAAAATACAATGATCATTGTGGAAAAGATTTAAGTTAACTATGTTTATGAGGAGAGATGAGTAATTTAAATCCCATTTGATTGTAGGAAAGAAAAGAAACTGTTGATAGAAAATAACATGAATGAAAATAAAGTTATAAATTGATGAGAGAGGTGATTATAATAGATAAATGAAAGGCATGAGGGTGGGAATGGGGATTGACTTGAATGAGGTCACGCATCTCCATTTCTACCTATCCATCATTCAATGGCTTTCACCTCTCTATAATTCTACAATTTTATTTTTGTTTATTTTTTTTCTATCAACACATTTCATTTCATTTTTTTTATAATAACTAAACAAACCTTTAATTTTTAAGAATGAGAGTCATGATTTCTATAATTTGTGATGGATGTGGTGATTTTAATATTCCATATATGTGGTATTGAGTATTTTCATATTTATCATGAGGAATTAAATAATTTAATATATTTTTTAATCAATTTTATTTTATCTCTTTCTAACAAGCAAAAGACGTTATAGGGTTTTGGCGTGGATGCTATTTTTTATGCTTTTGATGTGTGGACTGTTAGGCCTCGTTTGGTATGATAGAAAAGTTTTTGATGGAATTGAAATTGAAATCAAAATCAAAATTGGAATGGAATTGGGTTTTAAAAATGTGCTTGGTATGTTAGAAAAAGTAGATGGAATCCTTACACTATTTTTATTTGGCATGTAAGACATGAAAATAAAATTATATAGAAAAGACAAAAATACCCCTAAAAATTAAAATTAAAATAAATATATATTAAAAGCTTGATTGTGTTTTAATTTCCTCGTGTATTTAGTATATAAATAAAATATTATATGTAATAGTAAATATATATAATACAAATATACTATAATTATACAAATAGTTTATAAAAGAAATATTACAAATGTTCAAATATATGTAATGCTATATTATATATATATATATATATATATAATTTATATAAAGACTTTTACGCCCATAGTAACATCAGAATAAAGAGCACAAAACATACAAAAATAAAAGTAGTGAGAAAAGAAAAAAGCTAACGAAACAAACTCAGCCACTATCATTTTTTTTTTGGCCGAACTCAGCCACCACATTTTGAAAACCAGAAGCCTTTGATGCACACAAGGCTCACGCTCATAATTTACAGGGCAAAGTTGTGAATTCAATTTTTTAAGAGGATAAAATTGTCTTAAAAAATAGGATTCTATAGAATTGATCTAAATTTCATAGCTTTAAATATGGAATCTAATTCAAAATTTTTTCATAGAATTCGAATTCATGAGAGTTCTAATTTATATGTATCAAATATCTCTTTATTTAGATTCCTATCCCAATTTCATTTCTATTCTTAAGATTCAACTCCTCCAAACAGGACCTTAATATCTCATTGTTTCGTGTTCTGCCTCACCTTGCGGATTTTTTGCATCGGACTTTGATGGGCTTCACTTAGCTATGATCATTGTTGTATTGGAAGTTGTTATTGACTTTCAGGTTTTCTTTTTTTCTTTTTTAATAACATAACTTATAAATATAAATAAACATAATTTTTTTCCTTTTGGCTTAATAAATAGGATTCCAATACAATACAAGGAAAATATTATTACCGCGTTTATTAATTATTACTCCACTTGATCAATATTATAAAGTATTTTTTTAAATTGAATTACACTTCCCGCTTTGTTAATTATATTTAAAACTATACATTATTTTCATGTTTAATCTTATATAATAGGATATATCCGAGAAAATTTTATTAATTAAACTAATTGAGTTTTTTTAAAAAAATTATTAAAAACGACCATCTAGAAGGTCAACCATATTGCTTAGCTACCTCCTAAGCAACATGCTTATATTATCTTTTTTGTCTTCAGCGTTGTTTTGTTTTCTGTTTTTGCATTGGTGTTTCATGTTTGTATGTAAAAGTTAAAACGTGCCTCCACCACCAACTTCGTCTCACGAGCCCAACCACTCCCCTCTTTGTTTTCTTTTCTGTTTTTGCATTAGTGTTTGTTTTCAACGATATTTTTAAGAAAAAAATCAGGAAAAATAATAATAATAATTTCTATATAAAATTTATATCAATCAAAAATTAGTTATCAAAATCTGAATGGAAAATAAACTTGAATGGACTATTGTTAATTTAGAATGAGTTATTATTAAAGTTTAAATGAATACTTGTTGATAAAAAACTAATCAGAATTGACAAATATCCATTTAAATTTTGATAACAACTAGTCCTTGACTGCTATGTTTTCAAAAATTATATTTTTTCCTCTATGTTTAAAAAAGATTTTTATTTTAATATAATACATTTGATGATATATTAATTATATTTTCAATATATTACTCCTATTTAAATTTTTTTGGATTGTATTTAAACTGATTAACTATTTGAGATAATGTAATGCAAATTAAAAAATTATTTGAAAAGAGATAAAATTAAAAATTTATTATATTTTTAGACAAATATAATAATTTAACCTCTTTTGTTAGTTTTGATGAGGTAGGTAAAGTTGCCTTATAATAGATATCAGAGAGAGTATATTTTAAATGATTCAAGATATCTTATATTTTTTAAAAATATACTGTATATTCCTTTCACTTAAAAATATAAAATATTTTTAACTAAAATTACACTCCTAATAAATTAGTTAATATTTTTTAAACTAACATTATTTTTTTCATGTTTATTCTTGTTTTATATGGTGTCTCATCTAAAGATAAAAGTTTGAATCATGAATGGTTTATTTATATTAGGTTACTTTTGGAATAAACCTCATTAATTACATATTAAAAAATTAAAAATATATTATATTTTTAACGTTAAATTTAAAAATTATTTTATATTCCCAATCCTATTTATTAGTCACATTTTAAAATGTTTTCTTGGTCATTTATATGAGTTGCTTTCCCATTTTTTGTAATATTTGACGTACATTTCCAAACATACTATCTAGCAAATTCTAAAAAGAAGGATAATATTTCAATTTAAAAAAAAACTCTTCCCACATATTAAATGACTTTTTTTAAATCTAGGGACAAAACTAAAAAGTGATTTATTTTTAAGACAATTATATTATTCTAACTAAGCCATCTTAATTGCGATGAGTTAGGGAAAAAATGGAGGGAATGGAATATTTTTAAATGGTCCTCCCATTCATCCCTCCTCCCACCTCTATTAAATCTGGATCGTTC